TTCGACGGCGTGTTTTTGTCTTGTGTGCGTTTGTGTGTATGTGGGCGAGTGTTTGTCCGTTTTCATGAGTAATGATATCGCTTCTCCCTCGTCAAGTGATGGTTGCCTGCGTTGCCAGCCTGTCTCCGAGTCTTTGCCCCATTCTTTCCTCTTTTCTTCCTTCCTCTACTCTCACTCCCATTTCCTTCTTACCTTCGCTTCCCTTTCCTTCCCTCACCTCACCTCTCCTCCTCCCATCCCTCCCTTCTTCCCCTTCTCGCCTCCCCTCCCCTTCCCCCTCCCTCCCTCCCCCATCCTCTCCCTCCCTCTCCCTGTCCCTGTCCTTGTGCCGGTCATTGGCGTAGGCCGGTGGAAGGCGCGCTGTTCATCGCCTTCCTCTTCGTGTTGTTTGTTCGTTTAAAGAATTTCTCCCTTTTTGTTTGACCTTTTTTTTCGTTCCATAATTCCCCTTTCCTCTCCATTTTCTTTTGTGATTTCCACCCTTTTATTCTTTACTTTTTTCTCATTTCCTGCTTTGGGATTTGTCAGCGTAGAGGGTGCGACGACGGACAAGGCGCTCGAATGAGGACACGTGGACGGACGGACGGACGGATACACGAACGGACGGAAAAATGAAATTAACGTACGGACAGAGAAACGGATGGATAAAACAAGGAAAGGACGAATTTATAAACGTCGAGTTGAATCGATTAACGAAAGGACGAATCTACTCGCCTAAGAAACTAATGGACGAATAGACGAAATTGCGGATAGGCGGACGTAGAGAGAGACTGATTAACGAATAGACATACGGACAGACTGAAAAAAGAGATAAGAACGAATAGACGAATTTACGGACAGGCAGACAGACAAACGGACGAACGAATGAATTTTCGGACACGGACGAACGAACGAATTTTCGGACACGGACGAACGAACGAATTTTCGAACACGGACGAACGAACGACTTTACGGACAGACCGACAGACGAGCGGACGAGTCGAGCGGACGAGTCGAGCGAGTCCCCCTTCTGGAGTCGGGAGAAGAGTCGAGGCGACGCGGGGATCGTCATCAGCCGAGCGTGTTGTTGATGACGCTTGTTTGTGGTCGAGCGCTTTAGCCGAGCACCCCGTGGCCGCTCGAGCGTGCGCGGGCGGGGGTGGAGGTGGGCGGAGGTGGAGGGGGGCGGAAGGGGTGGAGGTGGAGGTGAGGGGATGTAGAGGTGGAGGTGGGGGAAGGGTGGTGGAGGTGGAGGCGAGGGGGTGGGGTGGAGGTGAGGGTGGGCGGAAGGGGTGGTGGAGGTGGGGTGGTGAGGGGATGGGGCGAGGTGGAGATGGGCGGAAGGGGTGGTGGAGGTGGGCGGTGGTGAGGGGATGGGCGGAGTGGAGGTGGGCGGAAGGGGTGGTGGAGGTGGGCGGAGGTGAGGGGATGGTGGAGGTGGGCGGAAGGGGTGGTGCGGAGGTGGAGGGTGGCGGTGGAGGTGGGCGGAGGTGGAGGTGGGCGGAAGGGGTGGAGGTGGGCGGAGGTGAGGGGTGGGTGGAGGTGGAGGTGAGGCGGAAGGGGTGGTGGAGGTGGAGGTGGGAGGTGAGGGGATGGGGCGGAGGTGGAGTGGTGGTGGAGGTGGGCGGAAGGGGTGGTGGGGTGGCGGAGTGAGGGGATGGGGCGGAGGTGGAGGTGGGGCGGAGGTTGGTGGAGGTGGGCGGAAGGTGCGGAAGGGGTGGGGCGGAAGGTGGAGGTGGGCGGAGGTGAGGGGGGGTGGAGGTGGAGGTGGGAGGTGAGGGGGGCGGAGGTGGAGGTGGAGCGGAAGGGGTGGGCGGAAGGTGGGGTAGGTGGCGTGGTGGAGGGGGCGGAAGGGGTGGTGGCGGAGGTGAGAAGGGTGGGCGGCGGAGGTGGAGGTGGTGGTGGAGGGGCGGTGGTGAGGGGATGGGGCGGAGCGGAGGTGGAGGTGGGCGGAGGTGATGGGGCGGAAGGGGTGGTGAGGTGGGCGGAGGTGGAGGTGGTGGTGGAGGTGGGCGGAGTGAGGGGATGGGGCGGAGGTGGAGGTCGGAAGGGGTGGCGGGTGAGGGATGGAGGTGGAGGTGGGCGGAGGTGAGGGGATGGGGCGGAGGTGGAGGTGGGCGGAAGGGGTGGAGGTGGGCGGAGCGGAGGTGAGGGGTGGTGGAGGTGGGCGAAGGGGGGTGGAGGTGGAGGTGGTGTGGGCGGAGGTGGAGCGTGGAGGGCGGAGGTGGAGGTGGGCGGAAGGGGTGGTGGAGGTGGGCGGAGGTGAGGGGATGGGGCGGAGGTGGAGGTGGGCGGAAGGGGTGGTGGAGGTGGGCGGAGGTGAGGGGATGGGGCGGAGGGTGGAGGTGGGCGGAAGGGGTGGTGGAGGTGAGGGGGTGGAGGTGGGCGGAGGTGAGGGGTGGGGTGGAGGTGGGGTGAGGGGGTGGTGTGGAGGTGGCGGAGGGGGTGGAGTGGAGGTGAGGGGGTGGGGTGGAGGTGGAGGTGAGGGGTGGGGTGGAGGTGGAGGTTGGGGTGAGGTGGAGGTAGGGTGGGGTGGAGGTGGAGGTAAGGGAGTGGGGTGGAGGTGGAGGTGAGGGATGTAGAGGTGGAGGTGGGCGGAAGGGGTGGGGTGGAGGTGGAGGTGAGGGGATGTAGAGGTGGAGGTGGGCGGAAGGGGTGGTGGAGTGGGCGGAGGGGTGGAGGCGAGGGGGTGGGGTGGAGGTGAGGGTGGGCGGAAGGGGTGGTGGAGGTGGAGGGATGGGGCGGAGGTGGAGGTGGGCGGAAGGGTGGTGGAGGTGGGCGTGGTGAGGGGATGGGGCGGAGGTGGAGGTGGGCGGAGGTGAGGGGATGGTGGAGGTGGGCGGAAGGGTGGTGGTGGTGAGGGGATGGGGCGGAGGTGGAGGTGGGCGGAGGTGGTGGAGGTGAGAGGTGGGGTGTAGGTGGGGAGGTGAGGGGGTGGGGTGGAGGTGGAGGTGAGGGGGTGGGGTGGAGGTGGGCGGAAGGGGTGGAGGTGGAGGTGAGGGGTGGGGTGGAGGTGGGAGGTAAGGGGTGGGGTGGAGGTGGAGGTAGGGGGTGGGGTGGAGGTGGAGGTGAGGGGATGTAGAGGTGGAGGTGGGCGGAAGGGGTGGGGTGGAGGTGGAGGTGGGGATGGAGGCGAGGGGGTGGGGTGGAGGTGAGGGTGGGCGGAAGGGGTTAGGGAGCGGGTGTGGAGGAGAGGATGACTTTGGGGAGGGTAATGGGGAGAGGAGGATTGGATGGGGGTGGGGTGAAGCAAGAAAGGGGTTCGGGGTGTGGGAATGAAATGGAGAGAGATAGCAGAGATAGTGGGACGGGGGCAGAGAGGGGAGTGGAGGAGGGAAGGGGGAAAAGGACAGAAGCCCAGAAGGAGAGGGAGGGAGGGAGGGAGGGAGGGAAGGAGGGAGGCGGCGTGCAGGCCACACCAAGGGAACAGGATCCCAACATTTAAGTGGTAAAAAATTAGATAAATCAGATTGAAATTGTATCGTCACGCCGGGAGCCTTAACCTCCCCCCCCTCATTTCCCTCATCCCCCTCCTCCTCCTCCTTCTTTTCCTCCTCTCCATTGCAACCTTTGGAACGCGACCTTCGGGAAATTCGACCTTATTCATAGTCGTCAAATGGATTAATTTTGTATGTTATGAATGTGTGGCTGGGGAAGGGGGTGAACCTGGGCGTATTGCTGTCCTAGTGTGTGTGTGCGCGCGCCTGTGTCTGTGTGTGTAGGTAGGTATGTGGGTAGCTATGTAGGTTAGGCTAGTCTGCCCCCCCTCCCCCTCCTCTGCATTTGTGCTTTGCCTAAGGATTTGTGTTGAAGAAAACGCGAGGAAGGGAATAATAAAAAGACGAAATTAGGTTTAGGTAAAAGAAATAGAGAAGGCTCCCTTTCGCGCCCACCGCAAGAGCTGCAAGAGAAGGGCGTCGGGTGGGTGTGGTTGGGGGAGGGAGAGGGGGGAGGGAGTCGAGCGAAGGAAGAAGACTTGAGAAGTGAAGATTTCCCCCACGCGGTGCGAAGATCTGTACCACGTGAGGCCCGAGCGATGGAGCAGGGGCGGTGGGGATGGGGAAGGGGAGGGGAGTGGGGGACAAGGGGGTCGGTAGGGGGAGGAGAGTGGGTCGGAGGGAGGAACGGGGGAGGGGAGAGGAGGAGTAATTTACAGTGTTTTGCTTGAGTGATCACAGCAGGCAGGCAGGCAGGCAGGCAAAGCTGAAGGAGGGGGGGGGGGGGGGGGAGGAGACCTGGGCTCCGAGATCCTGATGAGACAGTGCTATGTGTGCCGCCTCCTGTCCCGAAGTGCGCCCGCCCGATGCTTAACTGCAGGAATTTGGTCATTAAACGTTTGCTCTTCAGTGTGCGTGTGTTGATGTGTGTGTATGTGTATGGAGTGGGGAAGGGGTGGGGGGTGGCCGGGCTGGGAGAGGACAGGAGGGGTTTTGAGTGGTAGGGTGGAGGGGGCCATGGCATGGGGGAAGGAAGGAGGGGATGATTGGGAAGGTGGGGTTAGAGTTGGGCATGTTGGGGAGGAGGAAGGGAAGGAGGGGTAGGGGATGGTTGGGCATGTTGGGGAAGAGGAGGGAGAGAGGGGGAGGTAGAGTTTGAGGAGGAGGAGTGAGGGAGGGAGGGAGGTAAGTGGGGTGGGGTGGGGTTGTAGGTAGGTACGGAGAACTGGTTTGGTCATAATGCCAGGGCAATGAACTCCGAGGACGATGTCTGCCGTCGGGAGTATCAAGGCCACTGGAGTTTTTTTTTTTTTTACTTGAAGAAACAAACATAAAAAACACAATAACTGGCCTTATTTGGCTTCTTTTCTGTCATCACTGGCGTCGAATATGCTCGAAATAGATATCAGGACACGAGAAATAACGTTAGTTCATATTTGCAGAATGTAGGACTGTCATTGAGAAGGTGAAAGGCGAAGAATCCTGTTATTAAACCTTCCCGCAACATTTGTTTAAGTTACCCCCTTCCCATCCCGTATTATTTTCTGTACTAAATCGTGTTCCTCTTCCCGTTTTCTTTCACAG